TCTTCATATCAAACATACTTAATGTGACCTTACATTAAGTAAGGTATTCCCTCAGGTATTCAGCAAACAAAATCAATATCATGGAATAACCAACTGAGGCACGATGGGATTACAAATTCCTTGCTCAGTGAGGGCACATAAAAAGCAGACTGAGCTTACCTTCATTGTTTCTTTATTATATCCCATAGTTCCCTTCACTAAATGTTAAAGACTTTGAAGACATTTTGTTCCAGGGTAAGGGAATTCTCCAACATAATGCTTTCTAACAGAATCTCCCCTTAAAGTTATTGGGTATCTTTTACCCAATTCATAATTAAAGATATAATAGGACAGTTTCATAAGACTGACTTAACAAAACGTACATAGATAAGTGAAGGAAACTATAGTCTCTCCACCTTTCACAAAGTTCTCAGAATTCCAACCACAAGAGAAATCAATCATTTTACTACATATTTTGGAATTTTTGGCAGTAAGGAATAGTATCAACTCCTCTGCCCATCATAGGTGCATTATACTTGTTTTCTAAAGCGTGCCTTTGAAAGGACATTTTTAATTACAAATGACTACCAGTCATATTATCAAATACACATTATACATTTTGCAGTTTTATATTGGCCAAGAAGTTTCAGTTTTCAACACCTGAAATACAATTTTTATAAATAAAATTTACTTCTAGGCCTTCTAATTTCAAATTAAAGTGATGAATCACAAGAGTTTATACAAAAAATATTTAAAAATTTTTATTTTAACATGATCCAGTTCCTCTCTGTTAAAATGTACCCAATAGTCATTGACTGCTGCCAACTATGGCCTAATGTTTCACAAGTCATTTCAATATGAAGAGGATAAAGCAAAAGTGATTATCTGCAAATCTGTACTTTGCACTTTATTATGCCCCATTCAAAGGTAAAAATGAAATAGTCATTCCCCCCAGAAAAGCCAGAATAATTTCAGAAAGTTCTTGAACACAAAAAAGTATCAAAAAATATAAAAAAGTTTTCAAGAGTATTACTTAAGTAAATCCTTTTATGAAAAAAGGGCCTGTATGATCCTTCAGAAAATGATTTTCTCAAGACCACAAAAGGTTCCAAACAACGGAAATTCGAGTGAAAAAGCAACTATTTTATATGGTAACGTAAGCCACATAGTAAAAAACTACAAACTATCTTAAACCCTAAATATATCAAACAGCCAGTACACATGAAGTCGTATTTATCTGATACTGCATCTTATCTATGTGATAGTAAAAAGAACTGGAACAACCGAAAATGGTATCCATTAAAGGTTCTGTTTCATTGGTCTGTTTTTATTACTGGGAAAACAATGTGAGCCACATTTGTTAATGACAAAACTCATTTCCATTCTTTCTGGTTCTCTGCCACAAATGCCAGAGTCATACTACAAATTATAGATGTTTGTGGGATTTAAGTACGTTTACACGAAAATGAACAAATCAAAATTCTGAGAGGAAAAAAGTATAAGATAAGATACAAGTGTCTTGGGGGAGAAAAACAGCACACAGGCATGTATAATATTGCATATAATTGGTGGTGGTTCTCCTTCAAATATTTCCATGCTTAGATTGTTTTGCTTAATCAGAGATCATCTTAATGTTCAGGAGTTGTGGGGGAGGGGAGATCACCTAAGGGGCTCAGAGGCCATCTTCTCAGTATCCTGAAGTAGACTTATTCGATTTCTGCATATTTCTTTTGGTCTGTCCTACTTTTCAGATGGATCACAGCCAAAAACACAACTTTGTGATGTCAGAAGGCTATATCCAACATGCCTATAATGAATCCATCTTACAAGTTAAACTCCAAATAAAATATCTAATCTGGAGTTTATTACTAATACACAAGAAGAAATATTTACTTAGAAACCACTACAAAATGGCAGCTGTTTTTAGAGTTTAAGAGTCCAAGTTTCGTAAAATGTTTAGCAAAACATCTATAAGATAAATATAGCCTAATCGACAGGAAGGATGCACATAACAAAAAAATCAAAATTGATTCAATGATTAAAGAGATGGAGGAAAACATGATACGTCAGTTGCAGGAAAAAAATTCCTGTTACTTTCTTCCCATTGTGGTTATCAGAAGGGTCCTTAAAATTATTACTTTGGTTTTCAAACTGATTCAAAAATTAAAACTCTAATGGAACTTTCAGTCCTATCCAAGCAAAAATCTCTAGATAAAAAACAAAAGTCTGCCAAAACCAAACAAACAAAAAAAGAAAGTCTTTATGCTCCAGTTTCCAGATGCCAATAGCCATAAATGGGTAGGTTATGAATTGCTAATTCCCATCTCCCCACCAAATAAAAACCAAACAGCTCATCAGTGAAAATTCCCAGGAAAGCAAGGTTTCTTAGTCCTGAAGCAGCCATCGCCTAAGTGCTGCTCCCTGCAGCCAGCAGCATTAATGGACGCTGCACTGCTGTCCTTCCCTGGAGACAGCAGCCAGCACTACTCAAGCTTCTCACGTAGCAACCAGAGCTCCAGAGCCAGCAGCTGCTGCTGCCTTGTATACTCACCCCTGTGATCCAACCCAAAGGAACAACCTTCTCTTTACCCCACCCCCACTCCTTACACACACTTTTTTTTTTTTTTTTGGACCAGTGCTCCAAGCCAGAAGGGCTGGAATTATGCTTTTAGAAAGAAACAATCCTAAGGTCACCCTTTTAAGCCAAGGCCTTTTATCAGAAAAACCAACATTTGCCGAATTCTAAATATCCATTTTAATTAAGCCAGCAGTTTAGGAGTGAAGATTAAGCTTCGGTCTTTTGAAAGCCAATTTTCCAAGCACTCTACAGTCGAATTTAAATTTGCAGCTAGAAACACAGCCTTGTGTCATGTCCTACCAAAGGGCATAATTCATTTTTCTACACATGACAGTATGAGTGAACCTTAAAGACTCCAATCCCATAACAGGCCCGAATTTTTGGCTACAGAAGAGAACTACTGATCCTGAGAAAACTGGAAGAAATCCAATAGAAAAAAAATGCCCTGTGTCCTCCAAGGAGGCCAGAAACCTCTGATTATGTGAGTATTCTCTGCTTTAGTCCTACCTCAGATTCCACACATCTAAAATTACCACTTAGAACTTTCTCTGTGACCTAAAAACGCTAAATAAAATTAACCAAAAAATAATTTCAAATAGGGAGTACACACTCTCCTGAAAAGCTAAGCACACTCCACTCAGCTGGATCCTCCCCAATCACAAGTATAGCTATGTAACATCTGCCCAACAAAGAAATGTAAATATGACCTTGGGTCACAAATATGTCATCTAAAAACAACTTGTTTAGTCAAGTGATGAAAGGAATTAGCAGAGAGCTTGGGAATTCGTTCAAGTACCTATGTGCACGAAGAAAATTGGAGAAATGGCTTAAATATAGACAAAGCCCAGTGGAACCCAAAGGTCTGGGCAAGAAATGAGTTACTGGTGAATACATTGCAGAAGTAACATGAGAAAGCAGAAAATGCAGGTCATACACGCACCCCTTACCCAGACCAGCAAAGCTGGCTGCAGCATCCGTATCCAAGAGAAAGACCACTGACGCCCAAGAAGTGAGACAAGCAAGGGCTCTACAGAATCAATTAGCATAGAAGGGGCTTTCCCAACAGTTAAACTTTCCCTCTCACGCGATTCACCTACTTGAACCAGGGCTCTTTCCCACCCTCCTCTTCACATCCCCGACTAACACGCAGAGGAAAAAAAAATTCATAAAGGGTAAAATTTTCTGCCTTTGAAGATATTCTCACAAGATCGCTCTCCACGCCCAAGGCAAGTAAAACGACACAATCTGGCTCAACTCCAGGCTCGAACCCTACACATTCAATGAGGCTATCTCAGACACGCTGGGGCACACGCCACGGGAAGCCAGAGAACGCGAGGTGGGGGTGGCGAAGGTAATGCCTTTGGGAAGCGGCCATCTGAGGTGGGAAGCCAGAACACGAGAGGGAAGGCGTCCAGGAAGATTACGGTGGGGAGGATCGCGGCCCCCAGAGCTATCAGAGTTGTCTGTCACAAGGCCGCGAGAACGGGGGTGGGGAGTCGGGGGATCCGGTAGAGGAAAAAAAAGTATGCCTGTGTATTTCGAGCGGAGGGCAGCAAGGGGCCTCTCCTAAAGGGAAAGGTAAACGTGGAGTAGGCAGTTCCCAAGAAAGGGGGTGAAGAGGCGTGGGGGGAGGGGAAGCGTCCTGACCCAGGAAAGACATGAAAAAGGGAATAGGGTCGCCTAGATTAGAAGGGGCCTCTCTCCCCAGGAAAAAGGGGTGCAACGGTGTGTGCGAGGTGGCGAAGGGGATGAGAAGGGGCAGCATCCTCCTGCTAAGAGCTTGGGGAGGGCCAGGCCCATGACCCAAGGAGAGCAAGCGCGGGGAGACGGAGGTGGTGACCCTTCCCTCCCCTGGGGCCCGATCGTGAGGGTCGGTCTCTTTTCTTTCGGACCCTTACCTTGTCCCAGGCGCTGCCGGGGCCTGGGCCCGGGCTGCGGCGCACGGCACTCCCGGGAGGCGGCAGGACTCGAGTTAGGCCCAACGCGGCGCCACGGCGTTTCCTGGCCGGGAATGGCCCGTACCCGTGAGGTGGGGGTGGGGGGCAGAAAGGCGGAGCGAACCAAAGGCGGGGAGGGGGGAGGGCCAGGGAAAGAGGAGGGCCGGCACTACTGTGTTGGCGGACTGGCGGGACTGGGGCTGCGTGAGTCTCTGAGCGCAGGCGGGCGGCGGCCGCCCCTCCCCCGGCAGCGGCGGCGGCGGCGGCAGCTCACTCAGCCCGCTGCCCGAGCGGAAACGCCACTGACCGCACGGGGATTCCCAGCGCCGGCGCCAGGGGCACCCGGGACACGCCCCCTCCCGCCGCGCCATTGGCCTCTCCGCCCACCGCCTCTCACCCATTGGTCCGCTCGCCGCCAATCAGGGGAAGCCGTCGGGGCCGCCTAGAGAAGAGGCTGTGCTCTGGGGCTCCGGCTCCTCAGAGAGCCTCGGCTAGGTAGGGGAGCGGAACTCTGGTGGGAGGGGAGGTGCGGTGGACTGGGGGGATGGGTGGCTGGTGTGACCGACTGGTGGCTTGCGGGGGTTGCCTTTCCCCCGGGAACATGATGTTTGGGAACATAAACGCTGGGAGAGAGTGGTGGTTGGATGCGGGTGGGAGGGAGGCCCGCCCTGCGGCAACCGGAGGGGGAGGGAGAAGGGAGCGGAACATGCTCAAAACCGGACGGAGCCATTGCTCTCGCAGAGGGAGGAGCGCTTCCGGCTTGCCTCTTGTCGCTGATTGGCCGCTTCTCCTCCCGCCGTGTGTGAAAACACAAATGGCGTATGCTGGTTGGAGTAAAGCGCCTGTCAGTTAACAGCGTCGGGAGTGCGCAGCCGCCTGGCGACCCTCGTGTTGCCCCCTGGGTGGGGCGGGTAGGTAGGTGGGGTGGGGAGACGCCGGGTGTGCGGGCGCGGCCGGCTTCCCGCGGCGGGAGGGGAGGGTCAGTGAAAGTGGCTCCGGCGTGGGCGTCCTCTCTCACCCTCCCCTTCCTTCGGGGGAGTCGGTTTACCCGCCGCCTGCTTCTCCTTCGACACCTGATTGGATGCCGAAGCTGGGGGACCGGGCTCATGCTACTGGCTCGAGTCCCACATGAGCGAAACCACTGCGCGGGGCGCGGGGGTGGCGGGGAGGCGGGCATTGGTACGGTCCTCCACGAGGCCCAGCGCCGCAGTGTCTGGCCCCGCGCCCCTGCGCAACGTGGCAGGAAGCGCGCGCTGGAGGCGGGGGCGGGCTACCGGCCGAGACTTATGGATGGCGGCGGCGGCGGCCGCGGATCCGCCCCTGGTCCCCGCTGCCTGAAGGGCGAGACAAGCCCGACTTGCTACGGGCACTCGTGGGGGTGGGGGAGGAGCGGGGGTCGGTCCGGCCAGTTTGTAGGTGGGAGGTGCATGTTCTCCAAATACCGGCGCGAGCTGCAATCCTGAGGGAGCTGCGGTGGAGGAGGCGGAGAGAAGGCCGCACCCTTCTGGGCAGGGGGTGGGGAGTGCCGCAATACCTTTATGGGAGTTCTCTGCTGCCTCCGGTCTTCTAAGGACCGCCCTGGGCCTGGAAGAATCCCTCCCTCCGCTCTCTCAGCCCCCCTTGATCTCGTCATCGCCTCCATGTCGAGTCGCTTCTCGATTATGGGCGGGATTCTTTTGCCTAGGCTTGAAGGGGCTAGCTTGGTACCTGGGCGTTGCCCTGCAACGGAGTGAGCAGGTGTTAAGATTTGAGGGGCGAGTCGGATTATCTTCCCACGGACTTGAGTTGGTGTGGGGGTGGTTGTAATAAGGGTGGGGTAGGGAAATGGAGCCTAGGCATTCACCTGGGGCTGATTTTATGCAACGAGACTGCAGGTTATCACTAAGATCGTTTTTTGGAGCATTTTTCTAGAAATAGAGATAAATTAAGGCATAATCACCTGAGTTTTACGCCATTTGCGACCCTTGCTGCACCACCAAAGTATAGCATCTGATTAAATCGTAACGGAAAAATTTTAGCCTTTGCTTCAGAAACCAGTGCTTCCCTCTCTCCACCTCTCTCCCCAGGCTCTCCCCTCTGCATTCCTACCAGGCATCTTAGGAACTCTCACTCATAACGTTGATCCCATTTTCCATTTGTTGTACTTGCTTATCCAGTATTCAGACATATCGCTGGCTTTCTCTCTCTCTTGATCTTGGGTAGCCTGGTGATTCATGAAACCAGACAGATTGCTTCCACCACAAATTAAAGCTTGAGCTGGGGCTTGACTCTTACCCATCAGCGCTTTTATTCCTCCCTTGTTCACGTTCTTGAATGTTTACCTTGGTTTTAATTTTATCCTTTTTCCTTTGCTGGGATTCTACCCCGACCCTCTTCGCAGTCCAGGTGGTCTTGACTACTGCTTTACAGAGAATTGGACCTGAGGTTAGGTAGCATCTCCCTTTCTCTTCCTCTAAATACCTCTGGAGCCATCCCTTCATTTCTGGTCTCATCAGTTAGTAACTAAGCTCAGATGCCAGTATGATAGCTTCCAAATTGCTGGCTCTGTTTAGTGTTATCTTCTGATCCATCTTATATCTTGTCAGGAAGATTGTCTTGAAGGAAGATAGAGCATGAAAATGACAGCTGAATCTCCATTAGTGGTTTGTATTGTAATGGAGTAAACTCCTTTACTTGCTTGTATATTTCAACATTCCTTGTAAAAGAAAAACCTGAAGTTTACATCAAATTGTCCAAGCCGCGGGCCGCATGGGACCCAGGACGGCTTTGAATGCGGCCCAACAGAAATTCGTAAACACTTAAAATGTTACGAGATTTTTTTGAGGGTGTTTTGTTTTTTTTTTGAGGGGGCTCATCAGCCATCCTTTATGTGTGGCCCAAGACTATCTTACAGTGTGGCCCAGGGAAGCCAAAAGATTGGACACCCCTGGTTTATAGGATGAATTCTGCCCTTGTGATTGTGATGCACAAGGTCCTTGGATAGACTTAACTCAATTTTACACCTTTTTCCATTTTTCACCGTTTTCCACGTATTACACATTCTCTCTCTCTTGAAGTCACATGGAATACACTGCAGTTACCCAAATCATAGAGGCATTGACAGTGGGGTGGTTCTTTCTGGAATGCTACCCTTGCTGCTTCTAATCCTGCAGATTCAGGTGTCATCCCCTCTCTCCTTTGGTCATGCCTTTCATGGTCTGTTGTCCTATGAGCCAAACTCCCCTATTAAAAAAGCAGTTTTCTCCTGACTTCTGAGCAGTTTGTACTGCATGACTCATAGTACTTCTCAGGTTGTTGTCATTGTTGATTTAAATTAACTATTCTGAGCTTTATGAGGGGACAGTTTCTTGTATCTTGTACTCCTGAGCTCCTGGTATACTCTAATGTCTAGCCAACCCTAAGTAAATGGAGTGAGCGACATGTAAATGTCTTTATGGTTTGACATTTTATTCATCTTGAGCATTGGAAAAGTGGCTGGTAGGAATAAAGAACTGAATTTTTATTTTTTATCTAATTTAAATTGCAACTATGGACAGTGTTGCTGTAGCCACAGACTTGTTCTGTGGATTACAGGATACATGGACATTGATTGCTTTCTCTTTGTACTGAGCAGTAAGGAAATAAAACCTGAAGCTCTTTGGCCCTTTAAATTTTATCTAACTGCTTATTTTATTTTACTTTTTATGTATTTAGCTGAAAGCTAAATCCAACCATTTTAAAGATGTGCCTGCCTTGGACAACAATGTGTTGAGAAACCAAGTGTTAATGAGTTTGGATTTCAAAAAAAAAAAAAAAAAAAAAATAATGAATTTTAGGGAGGTGAGATTCCATTAAACTGTTACAGGAGTTACATAATTAAATATAACAACTTTAATTAGAAATAGTTCTCTCTGATATAAATGAACCCAGCTCTAAATTTCAGTCCTATACCTTTGGAGGAGCCCTATGCATCATGTCTTCAGTTGTAGAAAACAGTAACTAAGTTTTATCCTGAGGAATTATAAATACCAAGATTTTAACACCAAATGCTTTTTATGTGCTAATACAGTATCTTACACATTTTAATTATTTATTTATTTATTTTTGAGATGGAGTCTTACCCTGTCACCCAGTCTGGCGTGCAATGGCATGATCATGACTCACGCAGCCTTGACTTCTTGGGCTCAAGTGATCCTCTTGCCTCAGTCTCCTGAGTAGCTGGGACTACAGGCACATGCTTCCATGCCCAGTTTTTGTGTGTTTTTTTGTAGAGATGGAGTTTTCCTGTGCTGCACAGGTTGGAACTCCAGGGCTCAAGTTATCTTCCTGCCTAAGTCTCCCAAAGTCCTGGGATTACAGGTGTGAGTCACTGCCCTGGGCCATTGAATATCCTTTTAAAAATACATTTTAATTTAAAGTTTTTCTTTAGAAAATAAGACCCTTGGGTCAGTGGTCTTCAAACCTCCTGTGTGCAGAGACAGTTAGTTGCCTTACTTAATGCAGATTCCCAGACCACCGAAGATGCTGAATTCTTCTGGGGAAGGTGGAACCCCATAGGGCAGGCAGTATAATTTGGTATCTTTTCAAGTTCATTTGCTTACTCAGATAGAACCCCAGGGCTATAGTATCCTATTTACGTGCCAAAAATGATTAAAATTTCAGAGAAATTCTTCTCAATTGTACAGTATGTGTCCCTCAATTTTTTTTCCTCAAATGAACTGTTTTTTCCTCCCCCGAAAAAATAACAGAATGGGGAAACATTTTGAAAGGCAAAGAGGAATAGTAATACTTTGAAACTTGCAGGTCAGTTTTTTTTTGTTTGTTTTAACAAGGAATGTTGAAATATATTTTCGAACAAGAGAAGTTCACCTTATTTTTTGTTTCTCCTACTTAATTGCAGTCCTTAAGGAAAGCGATTTTTCACTCCTCAGTGCCTAAGCACGGAGCTGGGAGCTCAAAAAATGTTGGTTTTGTTGGTTTATATGTGAAATTGATTCTCAAGTAATAGTTAAGCTCAGAAAACATATCAACAAGGCTCCTTTTTGGGAGAGACTTCAGGGTCACATTTAACCTATGTCAAGTCTCCTAATATTCTATTCATAGAGGAAACTGATGCCTCCTGGTCTCTGAATACATCTATCCCATCATTCACCTCTTTGGGTTTCCTGTACTAACCATTGCAATTAGCCTCTTCCTGTGCTTTACTTCCTTGAGCTTTTTGTTTAAATTAATCAGCTACCTAGCTCCTTTTCAAGTAGTTACATACTACTTCCTACACTTATAAGACAAATTTATTAGGTATATTACACACTTGTACTTGCATGAGAAAGCTGTTGAAGGTTTTTGGAGGGCTAGTGTGTGTGTGTTAGATTTGCAAAAGTTAAACTAGATAGGTTACTTCCATCTATTTTTTGTGAATGGGGGTTTGGTGTAATTATATAATTCTGTTTTGCAACACTAGTTTGACTGTTAAGTTAGTTGTAGAGCACCTTGTTAGGTCCCAAATCCAGAAGTCCGGTGGCATTGGACTTTGCAGGTTGCTAACTTAGTGGCATACTAATTTATATTAGAGGGCATACTTCTCAAGAAGACTTTTTTCCTTGTCCATGACTCTCTGTTCTTGAGATTAGATAATATATTGGATTACTAGAGAATTGTTAGTGAGCACTGAATCAACTAGTTTTGTTTTATCTAGACCAGGGTTAAACCTAATGAATTCTTTCTGTTCTGTTATGGAGTGTACTTTCTTAGTGACAAGAAAGACTTCCTGCCTCTGATTTTTATCTCAGTCATGGTTACATTCAATAATCCTACTTTCCAGCTTATTTCCTAGAGCTCAGTCATCAGTCACCTTTCATTTTCTGGTTTGGTTTTTTTTTTTTTTTTTTTTCAAACTTATGTAACATTGGCTTTTCCTACTAACATAGTATCAAATCATGTTTACAGAATTGGTTATTTCATCACCTAACTTATCTCACCTCTAGTTTATGGATTCTGGTAAACTCAGTCAACAGTCTTTACAGACTTTTCTCTTTTTACTGACCTTGATTTAAAATTGAATTTCAGACGGAAGTATTGCCTACTATAACAAATAATGGTAACATACTCTAGTGAATACTATAGGCAAAAGCTAATGGAAACATGGGTAGAAGAAATAAACTAATAATAGTTATTGAATGCCTTTTGTGCACAAGACGGCTGTAACTGCAGGTGTGGTGGAAGTAGCAAGAGAACTAGAAGTAGAGGGTTGAAGAAGTGACTGAGTTGCTGCAATCTCATGATCAAGTTTGAATGGATGAGGAGTTGCTTTTTAGGGATGAGCAAAGAAAGTGGTTTCCTGATATGGAATCTACTGGTGAAGTTGCTGTGAACATTTTTAAAATGACAACAAACGATTTCGGATATAACAGAAACCTAGTTGATAAAGCAATGCCAGGGTGTGAGAGAGTTGACAATTTTTAAGTAAGTTCTACTGGCTGGGTGTGGTTGTTCACACCTGTAATCCTAGCACTTTGGGAGACTGAGGCAGGTGAATGGATCACTTGAGGTCAGGAGTTCAAGACCAGCCTGGCCAACGTGGTGAAACCCCGTCTTTACCAAAATTAGCCAGGTGTGATAGTGCACTCCTGTAGTCCTACCTACTTGGGAGGCTGAGGCAGGAGAATCTCTTGAACCCGAGGCATAGGTTGCAGTGAGCCAAGATGGCGCCACTGCACTCCAGCCTGAGGGACAGAGACCTTGTCTCAAACAGAAAAAAAAAAAGTTTTTCTGTGGGTAAAATGCTATCATGCTATCAAACAGATGAAGTCTTGTGAAAGGAAGTCAGTGTAGCAAACTTCATTGTCTTAAGAAATTGCCACAACCATCCCAATCTTCAACAAGCACCACCCTAATGAGTCAGTAGCCATCATTAACATTGATGCAGGACCCTCCAGCAACAAAAAGATTGTTAGCATTTTTTAGCAGTGAAGTATTTATTAATTACACATAATACTATTGTTTACTTTTAAAACTATGGTATAGTATAACCATAACTTACACGATGCATTGGGAAACCAACAAATTCATGAGACTTGCTTTATTTTGTGCTCTGGGATTGAGCCTGCAGTGTTTCTGAGGTACCTGTATATTTAGTATGTTCCTCGTATATTAAACCCCATTTTACAGAGTAGGAAACTAAAGCTCAGAGTTTGAGCAATTTTCCCATAGATAACACCAGTAAATTGAGGGCTAGGGATTCAAACTCAGGTGTGAGTGGTGATTTGTATTCCTAACTAGCTTGTATACCTTTATCTGATGGAAACATTCTTTTAGGGAGTTTAATCTGGCTGTAGGATATCGGGTGGGTTGTAGGGATGGAGAGATTTAAAAGCAGAGAGACCACTTAGGTGGTTGGTACTCTTACAGTAGTGTAGACATGAGATAATGAAATTTGGCTTAACAGTAACAATGGAAGGAAGTTAAAGGATTTAGGAACCAAATGTCAGTTACTGAGTAGAGAGAATGGTCTCAAAACATAACTTCACAAGGAAGCCATCCTTGATACTCTCACTCCTACTATACTGTATCTTCCATTTGAATGTTGTCAAAAGCTCTTCTCACAATTGTAAATAATAATTGTAATTTTTTTTCCCTACTTTAGGTTGCTCCTTGACAGCAGGACAATGCTTATGGCTTTATCCGTTGCCTAAGCTCAGAGAGGTCTTCGAGGTCAAAACTATTTTCATGATAGCAAGATGCTTCCCTTTTTCACTCATTCTCTCAGTGTTCAGAGGCTACATGATGTGTGATGACATCCTCATTGATGTTAATGAATGGTGCTATACTTGAATTTTCTAAGGTGTGCTTAGGTAGGTTTAGGTATGCATACTTTTTAGAAATTAGTTTTTTCCCCGTTTCTCATTTTTAGAAATAACTCACTAGATTATGCCTTCAGTAATTCTTGCAACCTCAATATTGTGCAATTGTTATTTTAAAATACTATATTCTTCGTGCCTAAGCATGAACATAAGAAGTACATTTTGTTGTGTTGTTTGCAGTAGTTTAAATATTTTCCCAAAATACCCAAAATTAAAAATTTTACTTTAGAATGTAATAACTTTATTCTAAAATAAATCTATTTTTCTTATTTAAGAATGGATCATTGGCTTAAAAAGACTACCTCTTATCTACTTCTCGGCTATACCATCTGTATACTAAATACTAGAAAAGATCAATTTGGAAAGACTAACAAAAAACTAATAGAAATATGAAACCTATCTTTCTGCTTTGGAGATATTTACCTTACCATATCTGCAGTAGAATAATTTTGTTCTTTTGTCTTTCTGGAGATTGAGGTTTTGCTATGTTGTCCAGGCTGTAGTGCAGTGGCTATTCACAGGTGCCATGATAGTGAACTACATCCTGAAACTCTTGGGCTCAAGCGATCCTCCTGTCTCAGCCTCCTGAGTAGCTGGAACTATAGGCATGCACCACCAAGCCTGGGCTTTTAAAAAATTTTTAAAAAACAATTTTTTAGACAGGGTCTTGCCATCTGGTTCAGGCTAGTCTTCAAGTCCTACCCGTGAGTGGTCTTCTTGCTTTGGACCTCCCAAAATGTTGGGTTAACAGGTGTGAGCCACTGTACCCAGGCAAAAATTTTTTTAGAGATAGGAATGGAATGATTTTTAAATAGTGTTGGTGCCACCTGTGTTGTGGCATCATTTTGAAACCAATCCTAAAGATGGCTTTTTTTTGGTAAGGTACTATTTTTTTTCTTCTTCTTCAAATAGTTTACCTTTTTTTTTTTAAATTGCATTTTAGGTGGTACTGAGTATTTTTTAATACAGGTATGCTGCTACTGAAAAGAAAAACCATGTTTGAAGCTAGAAATGTTCGAACAAGTTACCTAAGTAACTTAAAGGATAAGTTACTTTGTAATACTATAGAAACATACACAATAGCTGAAAAACTTTAAGTCTCACATGGCTGTCTCTGCTAGATAAAGTGTAAGTAAAAGATCACAGTAGTGCTACTGTTGAGTGATACAGCAATTTGTCATTAAAGATGTGTGTGCAGACATGGATTGAGTTAATATCTATAGAAGTATACATTTGTCCCATGCCGGCTATTTGCCAAGAACACCAAAACCCTTACATAAAATGGCACTGTGTTTGCATACAACTTAACACATCTTCCCATATACTTTAAATCATTTCCAGATTTTTTATACTTCATACAGTGTAAATGCTGTGTAAATAGTTGCATTGCGTATTTATATTTGTATTGTTATATTTTTTTCTCAAATATTTTCAAGCACATTTGGTTCAATCTGCAGATGGAGAACCTGAGGCTATGGACTGACTGTGTCTATACTTTATAAATGGATGTGTGTGTGAACGTGGCTGGACTTGTTATTTGGCTTGTATTTGCCAGGCATCAGCATCAACTAAAGATACTCTTATGTGAAAGCTTGGCAAGAAACACGTCTTGAAATAACGTGAGTGTGGAATAACTTTTTAAAATCTTATGGTGTATCCTAAACTATATGTTGACATTTGTAAGAATGGTGATAAGGCAACAGTAGGTAAAACTTCAGGCACCTTGGCAGAAACTGAGGTGGCACCAAAGTATAAGATACCCTTCACTGCCATGCATTTGTGGTGTGGACCCCCACAAAAGAAAAAAAGAAGTTGCACTCATGAAACATCCTTGTGAAAGCAGTGACATTTTGTTAAATTTAGACCTTTGAGTAGCTAACTTTTTAAATTGTTATGGAAGCTGAATTATCTGCTATTTCCTTGGAGTCTAACAACTGGCAGCAATTGTTTTCAATAATAAAATCCAAACTCTGAGTCAAAAATCAGAATTTTGGGAAAACTTGTGCCAATTATCAGGAACTTGACAGCTTCCCAATACTTAATGAGATAGTGATATTGAATGTGATATGTATTTTTTTGAGGCAAAGTCTTGCTCTGTCACCCAGGCTGGAGTGCAGTGGTGTGATCTAGGCTCACTGCAACCTCTGCCTCGTGGGTTCAGCCTCTCGTGTAGCTGGGACTACAGGGACACACCGGCATGCTTGGCTGATTTTTGTATTTTTAATAGAGACAGGGTTTCACCATGTTGGCCAGGGTGGTCTTCAACTCCTGACCTCAGGTGATCTGTCTACCTCAGCCTCCCAAAGTGCCAGGATTACAGGTGTGAGCCACCGTGCCAGGCCCACCTAATTATTTTTTCAAAAATACAACACTAAAATATTAATGCATTTGTAACTAATATTTAAAGTTTCTAACATGGTAAAAAAGTGATCTGGGGCCCTGAGTTTTTTAGAATGTGAAGAATTCTCTGAGGCCACAAAGTTTAAGAAATGACTACTCTAGCACAACACACATATAAATAAGTACCTGTTGAATTACCCCATGGAGTTAAAGTGGCTCTTGGTAGTAAGCCTGAATGGCTGGGATAATGGGCATGCTAGGACAGGAAGCAGATTTCCTCAACTTCACCATTGTAAATCATTAACATGTTCGCCTAGGACAAAAAGAATTAAGGGGAGATAGGGAAGCCCTTCATAAGCAAGGTGATACTTTTTGCTATCTTTTTTCTATGCCTATCTTATTAATGAATATGAAGGACTTACAGGCTTTAACGTACTTGAGGGTCCAAAGATATTTCCAAATCTTTCCTTTTTCAGTCTTCAACTTAACCTAAGTCCTATCTGACATTGGGCCTACAGTTACAGCAGAATTTCCTAAACTCCCATTTTTTAAAGAAATAAGGGTAAACAAATGTTCCCCTTATAAGCACTCTGGTACAATCCAGTATTGGGAGGTAACTATCTTCCCCAATTAGATTTGTAAAATATTTCTCAATGTTTACATTTTTCCCCCTTGAATATATTTTTCATTCCATGTTCAGATTACAGATTCCTTTCCCCATCTTTTCACATTCCTTTAGTCCAGGAGACACAGTTTGAAGGTTAAAACCAAGGTCACACAATGAATAGGCAGCAGTGTCACATGTTAACCCCAGGCCTTCTGAATCCTGCCCGCAGCCCATTACCTATTCCAGTTGCCAGACTGCAAAACACTATACTAGGAAGAAGATGGCAAACTATTGCCCCCTACATACTTGTATCAGTCTTGTAAAACTTTTATTGTAGTATTTAAAAGGGTTAAAGTTATGATGAGTCAAGCAAAAAATTATTTCCTTAAAAACTAAGCTAATAAGTCAAAATATTTGTTCAACGTGCCCACTCTGGCAGATATGGTACCAGGCATTTAGGGGAAAAAAAAAAAAAAAAAAAAAAAAAGGACAACGTGGTGAAAACAGACATGGTCCTTGAACTTCCTGATTCTGTGGGTTACTTACTTAATTTGAGGTTTAAATGGTTTCTTTCATTAGGTGAAAAGTTTTGTGTTTGGCCCATAAATAAAGCAGCTGTGAATTCTGATGCTGCTGAAAAGGCCAGTCTAGGATATAAAACCTTCATAAACATCTTATTTCCAATTCATTATGAAGTGGGTAGATCGGAGAAACCGGATGAGGATTGCTGGCTGTGCTGCTAAGGTGAATTCTGCTTTCAAAGGAAGAAAGTATTGTGTCCTTTTATTCACAATGGATATTATCAAAAAGTATTACGAGTAGAACTATTAAAAGACTTAATAGGATACTGAAAATCTACGCTGAATGCAGCCAGATGCTCCAAAATCAACTAAATACTATGATGAGTTCCACATAAAACCTCAACTACTCTTTGTTCCAGGGAAGCACCATTTTCCACAAAACTCTCAAGCAGGGCTTGTTGCAAATGGAAAAGCAATTAAATGTGAATAGTGATCCAGGAGAAAATAACAAACTCACATAACTCCCAAATTAAAAGTTTTTTCAAAGATAAGTTTTTTTTCTCTTGGCTGTTTAATAAACTAGCCAACAAACACTTTGAGAGGCTTGTGTTTGGTTTTGAAAAGCAACAAACACCTTAGTATACTGAAAAAAAAATTTTTAATTTGATTTGTTGGTCCCATACCCCATCTATCAATATAAGTGTTATTTACAAGTAGAAATGTTCTATACTAACAATATCTTGCAGTCCCTTTGATAATTCCTAGACCTCTATTTTAGTTCTATGTATTAATCTGAATAATAGATGGATACTTTAAGGCAGATGGTAAACTTTCCTATAGGTCTTATGAGATTTCGTCCTAGAGGCTGAACACCATTCGCAAAATATAATAATGCTTCATTTCTTGAGTTTGAGGTAAAGAACTTGAGCAACTGGATTAGCAAAGCTGCAAAGGCAGTGAAATGTGCCCTAAGATGTAATTAGATTCTTTGCCTTTCCTTTGGGTCAGGGTAGTTTTGCACTTGACAATGGAAAATAGGCTATAAAGCCTGAAAATAAAATGTTCTAAACCCCAATCTCAGAGCACTTTTGTGGGCTTTTCACTAAGCATCTTTAAAGTATTTTAAGCAAAATTAAGCTATCATATCAAAAGAGCTTCAAGGAGAAGCTGTGCCTTCTTATAAAACTTTTGAGACAGAGTTTCGCTCTTGTCAGAGTGAACTCGGCTCACTGCAACTTCTGCCTCCTGGGTTCCAGCGATTCTCCAGCTGCAGTCTCCTGAGTAGCTGGGATTACAGGCGCCTGCCAACCACATCTGGTTAATTTTTGTATTTTTAGTAGAGATGGGGTTTCTCGATGTTGTCCAGGCTGGTTTCAAACTCAACCTCAGGTGATGTGCCTACCTCGGTCCCCCAAAGTGCTGGGATTACAGGAGTGAGTCACTGTGCTTGGCCACGTAAAACTTTTCAATTCCATCACATTACATTCACACCTTTCGCTAACCAGGACGAAGAGCCTTGAACAGGTTTAAAGAGTGCAGACTGCACTTTTGTTAATACTATTTTTCTCTCCGAGTTCTTTATGCTAACATTTCCAGTGGTGGGAAGTACAAGTACTATTAGTCATCTTCATTCTTTGCATTACCAAAGAGTTCCTCTTTCTCCATCTTGTTCTGAAGGATGAACAAAAGCTTCAGGTGTACGTAACAGAACATAAACTGCAGCACGAAGACCACCAACGTTCACCCAGACTGTATCCACCTTTCGCCATACATGTCGCATTCCAGATAATGCCTGTGTACACACAAAAAGCATAAAAATTGGGTTGACAATCTACTTTTACACCAACCAGGATTCTTAGCTGCCAGGTAAGAAACCTCAGGGGAAGAGAAAACAAATCCTATCCAAACCAACATCCACAAATCTCAGAAAGATCCGAAACTTGCCACAGGCTGAGATTTTGAGCTAACTGCATAGCACCTTGGTAAAGCACTTTGTGTCTTGAGTAAGCAGTACAGCTCGGCCTGTGGTAGGTGTGCAGACACGGCTCATCTCCCGTAGGCAAGCCGGATAAAGGTTCCAGTTTCTCTTCTTGGATCCTACCCTATAATAGAAGATCTAATGAGTCAAACACTTGCAAAAGATACAAAATCGAGGACCATATTAAACAAAACAGTTTCATGCATCCTGAGGCTTGAAAAATAGCTGTATTTTTAGAAACCAGACCTTTGCCATTACATGTCAATGAAATAAGCTGAGTTAGTAAACTGCTTAGAATGCTGACTCAAAATTTTTTTTGGACAACTATGTCAGTTATATAACTTGTCCTCTTAGTGAGTAAAATAAGCAGTCAAACCATACACCAAACAAGTGATCAGAAATCATTTAGGCCCGGTGTGGTGGCTCATGTCTGTAATCCCAGCAGTTTGGGAGGGTGGATCACCTGAGGTCAGGAATTCAAGACTAACTTGGCCAACATGGTGAAACCCATCTCTACAAAAAATACAAAAATTAGCCGGGCGTGATGGCACATGCCTATAAACCCAGTTACTCAAGAGACCGAGGTAGGAGAATCACTTGAACCCGGGAAGTGGAGGTTATAGTGAGCCAAGATCATGCCACTGCACTCTAGCCTGGGTAACAGAGTGAGACTCTGTCTCAAAAAAAAAAAAAAAATTTATGTTGAGAAACAGAATCAAGTCTTCCACTACCTTTTTGTGTAAAATACATCATTCAAGAATGGGCTAGAAAGTGAATTACAGGAAATTTAAAAATGAACCCCCTAGGCCGGGCATGGTGGCTCACGCCTGTAATCCCAGCACTTTAGGAGGCCGAGGCGGGCAGAACAAGAGGTCAAGAGATCGAGACCATCCTGGCCAACATAGTGAAACCCTGTCTCTACTAAAAATATAAAAATTAGCTGGGCATGGTGGCGCACGTCTGTAGTCCCAGCTACTCGAGAGGCTGAGGCAGGAGAATTGCTTCAACCGGGAGGCGGAGGTTGCAGTCAGCCAAGATCACGCCACTGCACTCCAGCCTGGCGCCTGGCGATAGAGCAAGACTCTGTCTCAAAAAACAAAAAGAACCTCCTATGATGGTCAGGTTTCAAAATGTAGTTAATACGTTCCTGAGAGTTCTCAAGAAGAAATATAATGGGTGAATCCATCATAATGTTAAGTGAAAAATAGCTCTGCTAAGTCTGCTAAAATTAAAATTTTTTTTTCCTGACTTAGAATAAGAACAAGGAAAATAATGACATGTTTAGAAGACAAGCAGATACTAGTATAACGAGTGAAAGTAAAACTCATTAAAAAAAACCCAACCAGTTCTCACCTTTTTCCAAATGGCAAATCTGTTACAATAATATCCACAGAGCCAGTTCTCAATGGCAGGTTGCAGATATCCCATTGAACAGCATCTATGGGTAAGCCCCAGGATGGTTTACTATGGGGACAAAGGAAAGGTACTTCAACATATTGTTAAGCATAAAATTGTTAAAACAATTTTTTTTTTTCTGAAAAGAGATTGCTACAGCAAAATATAAAATGCTAAGACTATCAATGATAATATCAACCTATTCCAAATTTAAGAAGTGGCATGAGCCGGGCGCGGTGGCTCAAGCCTGTAATCCCAGCACTTTGGGAGGCTGAGGCGGGTGGATCACGAGGTCAAAAGATCGAGACCATCCTGGTCAACATGGTGAAACCCCGTCTCTACTAAAAATACAAAAAATTAGCTGGGCATGGTGACGCGTGTCTGTAATCCCAGCGACTCAGGAGGCTGGGGCAGGAGAATTGCCTGAACCCGGGAGGCGGAGGTTGCGGTGAGCCGAGATCGTGCCATTGCACTCCAGCCTGGGTAACAAGAGCGAAACTCCATCCCAAAAAAAAAAAAAGAAGTGGCATGAAGATAAAAAAAAAAATAGGTCAGGCTGGGCACGGTGGCTTGTGCCTATAATCTCAGCACTTTCAGTGTCTGAAGTGGGATGATCACTGGAGTCCAGGAATTTGAGACCAGCTGAACAACATAGTGAGACTTCATCTCTAAAAAACTTTTAAAAAAGTTAGCAAGGCATGGTGACACACGCCTATAATCGCAGCTACTCAGGAGGCTTAAGGTGGGAGGATCACTTGGGCCCAGGAGTTGACAGCTGCAGTGAGCTAGGATTGTGCCGCTGTACTCCAGCCTGGGTGACAGAGCAAGACCCCATCTCAAAAAAGAAAAAAGAACTGAAAATATGATTGTAATGCAAAGAGAACTGCAAAAGGCAACTTTAAAAACGATGTCGAAGACCGGGCGCAGTGGCTCATGCCTGTAATCCCAGCACTTTGGGAGGCCAGGCAGGCAGATCATGAGGTTAGGAGTTCAAGACCAGCCTGACCAACATGGGGAAACCACATCTCTACTAAAAATAAAAATATTAGCCATGCATGGTGGAGCCTGCCTGTAGTCCCAGCTACTTGGGAGTCTGAGGCAGGAGAAGAGCTTGAACCTAAGAGGCAGAGGTTGCAGTGAGCCATGATGACTCCACTGCACTCCAGCCTAGTGACAGAGTGAAACTCTTGTCTTAAAAAAAAAAACAAGGCCGGGAGCGGTGGCTCAACCCTGTAATCCCAGCACTTTGGGAGGCCGAGGCGGGTGGATCACGAGGTCAAGAGATCGAGACCATCCTGGTCAACATGGTGAAACCCCGTCTCTACTAAAAGTACAAAAAATTAGCTGGGCATGGTGGCGCGTGCCTGTAATCCCAGCTACTCAGGAGGCTGAGGCAGGAGAATTGCCTGAACCCAGGACGCGGAGGTTGCGGTGAGCCGAGATTGCGCCATTGCACTCCAGCCTGGGTAACGAGCAAAACTCCGTCCCAAAAAAAACAAAAAAACAAAAAAACTCCAAAGCAGTAAATTACATTATGGGGTGACTTATGTGAAGAATAAAGTTTGTAAAACTAGTAATAACAGGAGACCTTAAAAGAAAAACAGATATGTAAAATTGGTAAATATATAAGTCATTGTTTTAAGATGAAAAAAGGAAATATATGGACCATGCTATATAAAACAAGACTAAGAAAACAGTTAAGGTAAATATAGATTACAGAAGACAGAATGAATAATAATAAATACAAAGGATTTAAATCCTCCCCATTAAGGCAAAGCAACTGGTTTAAGAAAACAGAATAATGCACAAGTTAGGAACTGAAGGTAAGTCAAAGGTTATCTGCAGAAATTAAGGATTTAATTGACATTTAATGAATTTAAGAAAAAAATGCAATAAAGGCAATCAATACATAATTTTTAAAGGTATATATAAAATATGTATTATAACCGCATATCAATAACTGCACAAAACAAAGCATAAGGCAAAAAATATTAAAAACCAAAGTAAAATGGATAGAAATGTATAGGTTGAATAGACAAAAAGTGTAGGTAGAAACAAGATAAAATATTCAGAAGCTAGAAAAGAAAGTTTGTTTAAATGTTCATCAGTTTGAATTTAAAAAGACTGGCCATATACTAGGCTCAAAGAAACTCCATGAAACAACCATTCAAAATTAATTCATCACAATAAAATATATTTAAGAAAATTCAAAGGAGTTCCCTGGAAGATGCAGACTCTTGGGTCCCATCCCAAACTACTGAATCAGATCTGTGTTAACAGTACCCCTGGGTGATTCACATGTACACTAATGTTTGAAAAGCACTGTCCTAGGCCGGGCGTGGTGGCTCAAGCCTGTAATCCCAGCACTTTGGGAGGCTGAGGCGGGTGGATCACGAGGTCAATAGATGGAGACCATCCTGGTCAACATGGTGAAACCCCGTCTCTA